CGGGGTTTCAGTGCCTCCTCTGACACTGAAAAGCTTGACTGACCTTGGGCAAGCTGTGAAACTGCGCTGAGCCTTGGTGTTACGTCTGTAAAATGAGACTGTTGTGAAATCCAGTGTGCCTATCTCGGTAACTGATTAACAAATGTTTGCTGCTGCTGCTGTTGTTCTTTCCTTCCCAGTCTCCTCCGAGGCCTCCTTCTCCTTTTTTCCTCTTCTTCTAAAAATAGTACTATAATAAGTTATTATTATTATTGTTATTATTATGGATAGCAAGGCTGGGAGTCAAAGAGACCTGTGTGGCTACAAAGCAGTGTCCTTTCCTGGGCACCACCCTCTTCTGGGGACAAGGGGATAGCAGGCTGTCAGGGGAGTCTGTGCTGCACCGCGTTTTCCCTTTGTCTCTCAGACGGCTCTCCACCATTCCACACCCCCGGCCACCGGGAGCGGTGGGTGCTGTGGGAATGCATCTGCCCAGAGTCCAGGGAGCCGATTCTCTTTCCAGTCAATGACAGAGGCAGAGGCCACTCACCAGGTGGAAATGAACTGGGGACTCTGCTCCCCAGTGAGAGGGACATCTCTTCCTCTCTCCCACCCAGAGCTCTGCCTCCTGAAGAGTCCAGCAGTGGCCTATCCTCCTGTCTAGCCAAAGCCATGAGGCATGTTTTGAAGCAAGGGAGTGGGTGACCACAACTCATCTGTTCAGGGCCTCTGATTAATATACACTTCCTGGGGAGCCCCTGGGCTCCTTGACTGTGTCTGATTAAAGCAGCTGGGGGTGACGCAAATATAGCCCAAATGTGATAGGTAAGGACTTTTTGGTTTCAGACAACAGATGAAACCCACTCTGGTAATGTACACAGAAGAGGAAAACTTACTAGAAGGCTTTAGAGGTGTCTTGTAAACCCAAGGGTAAAAATGTAGCTGGGGTCTAGAACATTGCAGGGAACCCATGGAATGAACACTCGACTCTTGCTCTGCATTACAATGCATGGCTGCTGTATTCCTTCCTTCTAAGAACTGGCTCTCTCTGCTACTCCCCTGTGGAAAGTATGGGCACCCCCAACACCTGTTTTTTGTGTATAGGTCCAGCCACAAGGGGCCTTTCTCTCTGACTCTCTTCCAAATCTAAATCCCAAGGAAGCCTCTCTCATTGGCCTTGTCTGGGCCAGGTGACCACTGACGAACTTGATGGAAATGTGTACAGATATTAAGAAAAATCAATATAAACCCTACATAGGAATGTGGAAATGCTTATAAAACTATCAGTAAAGAAATTAGACAAAATTGTGTACCCAAGAGGATTACAACTCTTTAAATCTATTTATGCGTATGGTTAAAGATTAGATGAGGCCACAGTGAGATGTATTAAATGGTTTATATTCTGGTAAATTTGTATTTTGCAACTATAGCTATTATTAATAATAATAATTAGCATCTACGCTGTATTTTACAGGCCACCATCGGTGGGCATTCTTTACATTTGTAGGCGAGGAAGCTGAGGTTCTGGGAAGTTGTGGACCCTGCTAATAAACAAGCAGTCGAGTCAGACTCTAGACCTCACGATCTTTCACCTGCACTGTATTGCGTCTTATGTTGCAAAATTGACCAAAGAAAGAGAATTTTAAAGTCATTTCTGCAGCAGGAAGGTTCAAGGTTGATGACATCTAGAGAGGGAGTCCTGAGGTCATGTATGGTGAAGGGAAATAAGGAGTGGGGGTTTCTCAGAGTAAAACCCCAGGAGGGAGTAGAAAGGTTCAGTGTTTTCTCCGTGTTCAAGGAATGGCTAGGCTGAGTGCAGGGCTCCAGGAGGGAGTAGAAAGGTTCAGTCTTTTCTCCGTGTTCAAGGAATGGCTAGGCTGAGTGCAGGGCTAACCCAACTCTCTATGTCACATCTTGCCTAAGAAATATACAGAAAAGTGTTACTAGCCTTAAATATTCCAAATATTAAAACTATTCCAAATTTCCCTGGGGATGCCTGAGTTTCCATTACTAGAGATGATTTCATGTTAAGGAAGCACTCGAGTCCCGTGGTTTCCAGGATTTGAGATACCTATTTATCTTCTGTAAGTCTTCTGATTGGAGATGTTACCACCACTCTGAAAGCTCTGTTATGGCCCCAAACCTGATCTACTTTTTGTTTTTGTTTTAAACAGGGACTATAAGACCAAATATTGGTTGATTGAATGAATATCTATGGCCAATTCACCTAAACATGCTATAGTTTCCAATTCAAGGGCATTACACTATTTTCTAACATCAGAAGAGTAAGGATATTTTGCCCCATGTCAAAGACATGTTGGGGATAATTGTAATTTGTCAAAGACCAAGAAAGGGGGAAATCCAGGTCTTAGTCTATGGTAATGTTTGCTTTTGAAGAGGATAGGGGATCTAGCTGAAAGGCCAGAATGTCCCAGTGAAAGGGGCTGCGAGAGGCGGACACCTGCAGGGGCTTTGGGCAGGCTCGCGTCCATCCTCTGCTGGGATAGTCCCGCTATTCAGTGATGAAGATTTGGGAGCTCGTAATGCTAATGATGTGTAAATGCATTTTCAGCTATTTTATTAAGCTGCCTTTCCAAGTTCATGATCATTAATATTTATGGTTGGGATATGTTCCTCCAGAGATTCTGCAAATGGCTCTCCTATTGTTCAGGTAAAATTTATAGCAATTTGGACTAAGAGGGGGCACCAGTGAGCCCAGGCTTATACATCTCATAGGAAATGATAGCTTTACCAATGGTTTTGTATGGGCGTGGATCTTTAGTCTATAGGTCCAGGCCTCTTTTATAGAGCTAATTGACTATGCTGTTATGAATCCAAAGGGGGATGTGAATGTCAGTGTGCTGGAAGGCAGAGAAGGGTAGTACAAATTCCCCAAGATCATATCCTCCTCTGTTGTAATTGGCCTTGGCAAGTTCTACTTTTTGGTGCCACAGTCTCTGTCTCCAACAAAGCGTTACCGTTCCCTCTGGATGCAGAAGTGCAGCAGGACCACAGCAGAGTTCCCTGCCCAGTGGGGTGGAAGGGTCTTCTTCCCCGGAAGAGTCCACGCAGAGCCCTGGCACTTGCCACAGTGTCATCTGCACCTGCCAGAGATGTCCCACTGCTATGTCTCAAATGGGGCTTGAAATTTCTGGCTGGGCCAGGAGGAAGGAAGTGGCTTTACCAGTCAGCCATGCATCTGCTGATGAGCTCTGGCTGGGCTGGGGGACTACGGGGAGATGACAGATTTAGGTATTGGAATCAAATGTTAGCTCTGGTGCATTTTATAACAATGAGCTAATCTTTACCTTCTAGAAACAATTTTTTGGGGAGGGTATCACAAGAGCATGAGGCCCCTGGTAAGATCATAAGCACTGATTCCATACACATGACCACTCCAATGCAAACACACATACCTGATTCCTGAAAGATGCCTGACTCCCAGCTCAGGTGAAAGCCTTACCTGTAAAACCCAGGGGTCAGATAGATGATCTCTGCGGCCCTTTTCCTCAATAATGAATTTCTTTGCCATTTGGATTCTAACAAGATCTTGTTTATGTTGGAAACTGTCAGCAGATGCTGAAGCTGTCCCTAGGTGAGTGGGTATTATGGTACTCAGACCTCACTGGGTTGAAGGATGGGGTTGGGTCCATGGTGGTGTGCCTGGTCTCCAAGTCATGGCGCAGAAGGCAGGGGAAACACTCACCTGTAATTAAGACCTACTCTTTGGCTGAATTTCCTCTACTTACAGGCTGCATCTGGGTCCAATCAGGAGGGGCTCAAGGGGGATGGGGAGCAGGTGGCACTGGGGACTCTAGGGAGAGCGGTTACGAATTCATACCACCTAGAGGTGGAGAATAGAGAACAAAGGGTTCTAAAAACAGCTAAAAAACTAGAGACACGATGACCAAATGCAACATGTGACCCTTGATAGGATCCTGGATTAAAAAAAACAGCTATAAAGGATGTTATTGGGACCACCGGGGAAATTTGAATATGACTGTATTACACGATATTATTGTATCAATATTAAATTTATTAAGTATGAAATAGGAGTTGCAGGAACTTAAGTGCCTGTGGACCCCTTGCGGGGTGACTTGTGCCTCCTGAGAAGACTCCTCTGGGGAAGGAGAGAGAGGCACACAGAGGAGGAGAAGCTGCAGCTGTATCCATAATGTTTTCTTTCTTATTATTGGGGGGCGATTCTCAAGGGAATGATGCTGAGTGAAAAAAAGTCCATCTCCAAAGGTTACATACTATATCATTCCATTTATATAACCTCGTTGATAGGACAAAATTACAGAAATGGAGGAGATTAGTGGGTGCCTGGGGCTGGGGAGTGGCGACAATAGGGCACTATGGGGAACCCTGCTGGTGATGGACATGCTCTGCATCTAGACTGGGTCAATTTCCTGTGTGATCTTGTACTAGAGTTTTGCAAGATGCTGCCATAGAGGGAAACTGGGTAAAGGGTACCCAGGATCTCTATGCTATTTCTTACAATTTCATGTGACTCCTGTTATCTCAAAATAAAAAGCTTAATTTAAAAAAGAGGATATAAGGCAAATATGGCAAAACATCAACTTCTATCTGGGTCTTGGAAATCTGTTATATTTGTCCTACTATTTTCTGAATGTTGGAAATATCCGGTAAAAATAAAACCCTCTGGAGTTATCTAGTCAGCCTTCTAAGTATGCGTCCTTGCCTGAGACCCGCTCCTGGTCCTCAGGCTGCTGTGATGGAAGCACAAGTCTGAGGAGCTTTGCAGGGATGGGAGCAGCAGCGTAGCTGTGGTGCCTACCCAGCTGAGAACCACGCTTCAGACTTCTTACCGCCTGCATTGAACCTGGGAAGGCGTCTAATACTCCTCGAGGGCTGGGGCTTCCCTCAGAGCTCCCGCAGCTCCACTGAATCTCCTCGGCGTGTCAATGAAATGGGAAAAATCATACATCTATACTGATTCTTGGGGACAGTTACTTCTAGACTAAAAGAGCTGTCGCAAGGAAGGCTGTCTTCTCACTAGAATCCCTCAGTTTTATGTATTATAAAACAAGAGACGTACATACCAGAATTTATTAACTATATAGCTAAATCACAACTTTACAAGACATTCAAAAGGGACTAAATGAGACGTGTAGAATAGTTTAAATGTAAAAGTAAAAAGAATCTCTAAAAGACCAGTTAGATTAGAATATAATCTTAGTAATTATGAAAGAGTGAAGTGTTCTCAACCCAGCGTCACAGGACAGACTCGGCCATAGCAGGTCTATTCACATGGATTCTGAATGACAATCAGAAGATATTCCTTATCTGTGGAGAGATATGGACAAAATTAATCCACCCTAAAAATTAAATTTAATGAATGAATACTTCAGCTGATCTGCTTTTGTCTTTAAAACATCACTTGGACCCTGTGGTCCCTTGTGGGCCAGTGGCTTCCCACCCTGGCTGCACATCAGAATCACCTGTTGCGCTTTTAGAAAATACCATGACCCAGGGCCCAGTCCCAGAGAGTCTGATTTCACTGGTCTGCAGTGGGGTTCCAGGCATCAATCATTTTTTTTTTAAAGCTCTCCAAGTGATTCTAATGTGCAGCCAGGATGAGAACACAGGTGTAGGAAGAGCTTTATTGAGTTTATGGGTAATTCTGATTTTACAGATGTACGATAGGGAAGTTCGTTGGACACGAGGTTTAGGATCACAAGTCTTGTTTTACACTGACATCTCCTAACACTGTGAATCTAATTCCTTCTAATTCCTTCCGTCTAATTTCTTCAAGGAAAAGAGTATTTCGGTGGCTGCTGTCTTTGGTAGGCCAGGTGGATGGGCTCTCCCCCTAGGAAGGGCTTAAGACCTACAGGCCTTGATCCACCCCCTCCCTTATCCCCTAGATAGGAGACATCTCTCCCACTCTCCAGAAAGTCTGTGCACTAAGTTCACCTAACATGAGACCTACATCTCCTAAATCTTTTGATTACTAATAATAAATGCAAGTGGGCAAAATTCAGCTTCTTCAAAGGTCAAGTTAATCGCTAATTTCACAAAATTTTCAGGTTGGACTTTTCAGATTCAAACTTCTTCATTTTGTAACTGAAGAATATTATGTGTCATATTGCATATTAAAATCTATACCTATATATCTATATATGTTGGTTCTTTGAAATAAAGCTTTTATCCAGTAAAAGTAGAAGATGATTTAAATATGAAAGGAAATGCAAAATTACCTGGGGCTACCATGATTTCATGCTTTTTTGATCTGATCCTAAGGAAAGTTAGGTCGTTCTGAGGATCAATATCGCGGACTGTGCTCCTGGCTTTCATTGTCAGCTGATGAAGAAGACCTGCGTATTGAACTGTTGTCGAGTTGTCCAAGGTTGTTCGGATCGGAATGCCTGCCACGAGATTTAATTTTGGGTTAAAAACTTTTTCTGATTATAAAAGTAACATGTACATTGTAGAAATTTTGGAAAATACTGATAATTGTAAAGAAGAAGAGAAGTGATGGCTGATATTACTCTCTGGTAACAATTTTAGTTTATTTCCTTCCAACCTTTTTGTCTCTACGTGGATTTTAAAATATAGTTGGGTCAAACTATAAATTACATATTTGACAATTGCTTTTTTCTTCTTTTAAATGATAGCATACAAGTTGTCCCTGTTGGTGACAACGTCATCATTATTTTTAATGGCTGTACACTTTACTATTTTATGGATCTATCACAATATAATCAATCCCCTATTGTTGGATTGTCAGGTATTGTACATTTTTTTTGTAGCTAATGGGGTGTTGAACATTTCTGTGCACAAATCTTTTGGAAGCTGTTAATTGATTATTTCAGTACGGATTTAACATATTACTATACAAAAAGGATTTCCCCAAGCGTCCTGTCTACAGCGAGTCTGCTGTGAAATGCTTGGTCTGTGCCACGGTGCTTGTTTTCTTCCCTGAAGCCAGAAATAGAAAGGGATATGTCTGCACATGCTAGAGAGTATATAAAAAAAGGATTTGCAAAATTTCTTTGTAACTCCTCACATGGTATTTTGCAAACCTTATATTTTCTATTAGAAAATAGCAACAAGGACACTATAGTTTTGCTGGGCATTCCCCGGTTTGCACTCATTCTTGGTTTAAGCATTATTAAATCTGGCTACTTGTGTGCTCTATTGTTCATTATACAAGTTTAGAACAGAACCTATTAATTTAACTGGAAAAATCCAGCCAGGCAAATATGCAAATATAATTCAATTCAGTTCAAATCACTTGAACTCAATTTGGGTCACCCAGCACTCAGTGCTTCTTATGTAACAGGTACTGTCTTAGGTATTTCACATACACTGTATCTAATCAGAGAGGCCCTTCACATTACTGTGAGAAGTACCACGTAGCCAGGGAATTCCAGGGATTTGATTTGCAAATGTGCCTTTAACTTAGGGGGACATACGAAGGTGAATGTGGCTCTTGGTTTTCCCCTAGAGAATGTAATTCCAGAAACTGCTGAACAAGATGAGCACTTCAAGAGTGGACGAGTGTTACCCGTTTTTCATGAAACTCTTTGAGAGCCTCAATTCTGACTTTGAAACAGACTAATTTCTTTTGCTTTTAAGAAAACCGTTATCTGCAGAACGGGTCTTCCTAACCAATATGAGGACAATACTTACAGGAAAACCTACTTAATAAATAAGGTTTTCTACAAAACTTGTTAATTTCTGTATCATTATTTGTCGGCCACTTTTCCCCCAGTAGTCAGTTATGTCTTTCACAGCTGATGGAACAACCCAAGGCAGGCGTTTTTAACAAGCAGGAAACCGAAATGCAGCAAGCCCTCAAGCTTTCAAGAGCACTTTTTGACGAATAATTGTATTTTGCATCCTGAATACTGACTTACCTACAAAGTCTGCATTGCTCAGTGTCAAAACAAGAAATACAACCAGAATAAATTATTTAAAATGCAGATGACAAGATTATGAATCAGATACTCAGGCCTATTTGGTTAGTCTGTTCATGATCCAAGTCAATAAATAAAACAGCTAGCCCTTCTGAATAACAAGCGTGCACTGTGGAAACTCTTGGAGTTTTTCATATCCTCTATAGACATTTGGAAAAAATCAATCAACAAATATTTTTTTGAGCTCTTGCTTGGTACCATGTGAGGTAATTAAAAAATAATTTATTAAGAAGTAATTTTAGCCATGGTATAAAATTTACCCACTTCCTCTTCTGAGAAGTAACCACTGCTCCCAGTCTCTTCAGTATCCTTCCAGATATATTCTAAGTCTATTCAGTGTGTTTGCATTTGTATTCTTTATTTTATCGTATCAGTCTCTATTTTGTATCTCAATTTTTTCCATTTAATACACTTGGGAAATTGTTCCATTCAGTACACATAAGGCACGGTCATTCATGTGAATGACAGCACAATATGGCTGTCAAATGGATGCTTTGTAATACACGTAACTAATATATCCTCCTGGCATTTAGGCTGTTTCCAGTCTTTGACTTTTATAAACAAGGCTACAGAATATGTCCTTGTGCATCCCCTTTCACATCTGTATACATGTGTAGGATAAATCCCCAAAATGGAACTCTGGAACACGAGTATGAATTTGATATTGCCAAGTTTATGGCACTACTTTAAAATATGACTCTTGATGATCTCCGTAAGCTGGCCCTCCTCAACTGTACATTTGTACTTTGGTTGATAGATGATATTTCAAAAACAAAATGAATTGAAAAGAAATAAAAGGAATTGGCTGGATGGCTGATAAAATCTAATAAAATTCAAACAATGGATTGTAAAAAATGTCAAGAATATTTAAAATTAAGAGCCTGCAGAAATCAGGCTTATATAAATAAGAACAGATGACAGATATGACTGCCTGGGAAACAAATATATATATATTCAACAGTATCTAATTCAATGATCAGTGCTGCAATATTGTACACAGTGTATGGTTTTCTAAATGGGAAACCAAAGTTAACAAAGAATCTACTCTAATAAAAACCTACACCACTCGGCATTGGACTAAATTGATGTCTACTTTATCGTCGCGGATCGGAAGTCTATGTTTTAATAGCAACGAAACCAAAGGGCTCTATTTAACATGGCATATGATGCGATCTAAATGTATAAACATGGTAGAAGGGCTGCCTAACCACCAATACAATCTGAAAATATGTTAAAATGATTTGCCTAGAATTAATAGATTAAAACCGCTAGCAGAGAAGCAGAGCACATAAACACCATCTTAGTTAAATATTTTCAGTATTAAATTTCTTGAGACTTCTGAGAGCTGCAGAGGTGTACTATAAAAAACGAGACTTTCATCTAAAATTGAGTAGGCTGTTGAAATGGAGTATTTTATTACATTCTGGTCACGCAACTTATACATATGCTATTAATAAACATCTTTGTTGTACACTCTGGTTATTAATAATATGACCATAAAAATAACCCCCTCATTTATAGTTTTGGGAAAAAGGTTAATCTGGCTTTCAGAAAAGTGCCCTAAATCCTAACACCACCTTATCCTAGTAGATGTTAATTAGAAGAAGTTAATGGGCATTAAAAATAATATTTTGTTGCCTTTGGACAAGAAAAATGTTAATTGAGAAACCTGAGGAAAATAAAGTAAAAATCACTTTTAATCCCACTACTCAGAGATAATCACCATAACACATCCCTGCCTTTTCTTCCACATTTATTTGCAGGGTGTGTGTGCCTGGCTGTATTTATGATTAGAAAATGCTGGGGACTGCTTCATTCCCTGCTCTTTTCATCTAATATCGGGAGTGGTTTCCCATGACTCTAAATAATCTTCAACATTTTAAATAGAGTAAATATGTAAAATGGCTCATCAAGTAAATATTACATAATTAATTTAAAATTTCCCCTACTGTTGGGATAGATTTATTTACTTATTTATTTATTGTTATTATATATGATGCCTCGGTGAATACCTTTTGTACCTAAATCTTTTATTAATCACTCTTTAAGATAAATTCCTAGGAGTGGAATTACAGATCAAAGGGTATGGACATTTTTCAGATATTTTATGCATATTCCCAAGATAATGTACTTTAGACTAAGATCTTCTAAAGTAAGACATTAGATGAGTTGTCCTGGGTGTCACAGGTGAACACACCTGTACTGAGATAAACAGTGTCCCTGCAAAATTCAAGTCCACCCTACACCTCAGAATGTGACCTTATTTGAAAACAGGGTCTTTGCAGATGTAATTCGTTACGAAGAGGTCACACTGGGCTAGGGTGGGCCCTAATTCAATGACTAGGGTCCTTATAAGAAGAGAAAACAGAGACCTAGAGAGGAGAACACCACATGATGATGGAGGCTAAGATTGGAGTGATGCATCTACAAGCCAAGGAATGCCAAGGATTGCTGGAAACCACCAGAAGCTGGTGGAGAGGTCAAGAAGGATCTTCCCTGTAGAGCCTTCAAAGACAGCCTGGTCCTGCTGACACCTTGATTTCAATGTCTAGCCTCCAGAACTGAGAGAGAATAAATGTCTAATCTTTTTAAAGCCATCAAGTGTGTGGTACAGCAGCCAAAGGAAACGAATACAGCACCTCTGTGAAGTCATGCAGATAGCCCATCTTAGGGGGTGTGTCAGAGCTTATGCAAAAGCCTGGAACTAAAATCAATTCAACCAGAACCATGCACTAGGGTTGGAAACATTAGCTTCCTGGAAATATTAGGCATACCTCGTCACTGACCTGTATGGCTGATCTTAAACCCTCTCCCTCCTGATCACTCAAGCTGGGTAGATTTATTATATTCATTTGACATTGAGTTATTTTTAATTTAATTTTGTTATTTTGTAAAACACATCAAATGTTTTATCTGTAAAAATCAATTAAAAATCCCCACATTTTCAGACCTATTTAATTATAATTCTATTAAGTTTTGGGTATTGTGCCAGGTCCTTGATAATTATTATTTCATTTAATTATCATAACCATCAGTAAAGGAAGTTATTTTCCACCTGTAATGATAAGGGATTGAAGTTCAGAGTTTAAACAGACTTTCAGTTGATAGTTGTTCAATAAATATTTATTGATGGATTTGCTCTGAAATAATGATTAGCTGTGAGAGTCTGTTGCCAGGCACTGAAGGGGCAACGTGCCAATTCCACGGCTCCATCACGAACTACATGAAGTAGCTACTCTTATTTCAACTAATGCTCTGGGATTTGCGGCACCTCTTGCCCTTACAAATGCCTGAATTAGCAATGAAACCAGCAGGAGCCTTTAAGAGGTTGCCACCAAAGCTGAGCATGTAGCAACGTGCCAGAGAAAATGCTCTGTGGATTGTTAATAGGGATTGGGGAGCGAGAGCAAGTTTCTAGTATAAGTCTACAGATTTCAGAGGTGGAAATGTATCAGCCCTTTTGATACTATATCCACAAAGACTATACCATAAATGATATTAAAATTAATTCACAAAGATTTTATTAAATATGGTAAAGGAACAATTTCATTTAAAATGAAGACTGGAACTCTGTACCCTTTATAATGTTAAAACAAAAACAAACTGCCAAGAGTGATATTCTCCTTATCTTACTTTGATAGTTCTATTAGTACTTCTGAATGTCAGAAGAGTTCCCATACCTTTAAAAATTAGACCAAGTATAGTGTTTCTTAGGAATATATAGACATTTTTAGACTTGTCTTATTCATATTCACATCCCTAGCTCTTAGCAGAGTGCTTGGCATATAATAGATAATAGATGTTTGATAAGTAAATGTTACAGCTAAAATATACAAAATATGCTTTTTATTTCAAATTTGAAGATGTTTGTCTCAAGGCCTGGCACAACAAACAGGTTCTTGGTTGGCTTCTGCGGGTCAAGCAGGCAGCTTGTGATGTATTTACCTTCTGCATTGACAACCATCGTTCCAATAACCCCTTTATGGCTCTGGATCCTCTTTAGGGTTTCCTCCACCTCTGCCTGGAAGAGATCAGGAAGGTAGTTAACCAAAAGGGTCTTTGTGGTGACCCCAATCTCAAAGAGAATAATGTTTAGAAAGACACATACTCTCCTATCTCCTTAACCTAAGGTACTGGATGCTATAATCTCAGATTTTTGGAAGAGAGCTTTGAAATCGTGAAGTCCCATAAACAAGCCCATATAAGACTCCCTAACTACAATCATGACAAATCTCTTGGCTTGAACTCCTCTAGAGACAGAGAGCTTACTGCCTCACAAGAGCTCACTCCATTTTTATCCATCTCTATTTATGGGAAAAGCACTCTTTACCTTGGACAGAAATCTGCTCTCGATCATCTTTCACTCATTGATCTTTCTGTATTCGTATGAGAAATTCCTTTTCTACATTGTAGTCCTTTAAATATTTACAGAGCTATATCATTGTCTCCCTCTGTCTAAAAGTATCCCTTAATGAGAAATCTAATTCTCAGTCCTAAATGTTTCCTAATTGGGAGTTCAGATGATTACACTCAGGATATTCTGTAAAAACTATGCATTCCAGGATTCCAGGATTCTCTTGGTAACTATAGCCTGAATCTCAGTGTAAGCTGAATGTTCAACCTTGAAAAAGTATGTTGGAACCCCATCGTTGGGTTTTAAACTCAACTTTTTGAATGAATCTTAAGCAGAGACTATATTGTACCAGTTTTCTTCCCCTCAACAAATGCTAAAATTAAGAATAATCTTTTTCAAACCTGTGTATTGTTCATAACTGAGTAATCACTGGATATTCTGAATTCAAACAGTATTCTTCAGAGTCTCTTGATGAGGGTTTGTGATTCTTTTCCCTCCCAACATTGTACAGGTGAACATTATGTTACTGTAGTGAGGACTGTTTTCTTTTGCACTGAATGTGGGCAGAAGCACTCATTTCCTCTCTTCCACCACCAGAGCAGGGGTTTTGTGAATTTCAGGCATTCATGTACTAGATTCATGATTTTTGCCATTATGAATACCATCTATATTATTTACCTAGCATGTTCTTTAAATTATCTCGCTGCTAAAAGCTCAAATAGGAGCTCCATTTAAAAAGGAAACTATACATCACTACCACAAATGGAAATCTGGTATCATTCGTCATAAATGGATATAACCAGAAAAACAAAACCAAGAGAGAACATATTATTAAATTCTACCACAATGAAAGCTCTGAGCCTGAGGTCTGCTCTTTAGGTGAAAAGTGGAAATTACCAAATGATAGTGGTATTAAGGACCTAATAGCGCCAGAAATTTGATTCTGGACACAGTCCAAAGGCTGAAAAAAATGGAAGAGGAATAACTTTCTCTGATGTTATTGGTACTTCTGAGCCATCTTATGTAACAACTAGTGTTTGCATCTCTCTTAGAAACAATGCACTAAAGTAATAGTTGTACAGGGGATCAATAATTTATTACATTTTTGCCATCTTTAAGACAATGTCCACAGTTCCTTACCACCACTGCCCTCGTTTGTCCTTCTTTTTCACTTCTCTCCCAAACGCCTTTCTCTGCTCTCCCGGGCCTTTCTGTCCCGTCTCCCAGCTGTTTTCTCTTGTGATTTCTGAGCCCTCCTAAGACAATCTCTTAATCCCCATCTCCAATCCCCTTTCCTTCCTCTCATAATTCTTTGCTTTCACCTTGCTCTTTTTCAAACTTTCCCCAGTCTCCACTTTCCTTCTCTTCTCTTATTATTATTATTGCTCTCTCTTCCCTTTTTTCTTCCTTTATTTTCCTTTCTTCTCTCTCAACACTCCCTCCTTCTCCCCTCTCTCCATTCCCTTGCGCTCCCTGTCCCACCTCTTTCTTCCCTCTCGGGGTGATTTTTCTCTTCTCCATCTCGCCCCTCCCCTTTTCAAACTTTGCTCGCGGTCGAGATCTCTCATCCCCCTCGGGATCTTTTATCCCTCAATATTCCTCTTCTCTTTCTCGATACAGGCCCCCCTCAAGACCACACCCTCAATCAGCGCCCTAGATAGCTATCCTCCAAGATAGTTTCCTCCATCTAGACATCTTCTTCCCCCCTCCAAGGTCGCCCTCTCGTCCCTCCAGGGTCTCCCTGTCGCTCCTCCAAGAAGCTTCTGGAGACCCCAGCCTTCGCCGCGGCCCCGGGACCGGCCGGGCCTGAGTCGGCCCCGGGAGCCGGGCAGCGAAGGCCTCCTGCGGCCAGCGCCCCTGGAGCGGCGGGGCGCGGACCGAGACCCCAGATTTACCATCGCGCAGACGGCGAGACTCCGGGTTCAGACCAGCGCCACCGCAGCCCGGACGTCCACAACGCTTCCAGCCGTTGCTAGGAGACAGGGCAGGAAGTGACCTCCCGGAAGCGTCGGTGCCGCGCCTGCGTGCGCGCGGGTCGGGCAGCCGCCGGCGACGCCGCTTCCGCCCTGCCCTGTCCTGCCGCCTCCCGGCCGCCGTAGGCGGAGGTTGGGGCGCGTGGCCCCGGGCGCTCAGCTGGGTGCCCTTAGGCCGCGGGGCTGTGGGGCCCAGGAGCGGACAGGCGCGTAGGCCGGGCTCCGGGTCGTCCGTCCGTCCATTCATTCATTCAGTCCTCGAGGTGCGCCTTAACGGAACAGCCACTTCCCCATTCAAGAACGACCACCTGCCACGTGCCAGGCTCTCCTCTGGGCCTGGGGTCCATTCTAGCAGGGGAGACGAAGCAAATGCGACCATCGAGGCAGCACTGTCCAAGCGTGGTTCCTGCTCTGGAGCAAATAAACAGGGCTGGGTCCATCTGACCCCGGGGTTGGGCCGCTTTAGATATTTGATAATATAGTCAGCTGCCTCGGACACTGGGCGGACTTCCTTCAGCGCCGCCCTGTGCAGCAGTGATGCATTTGTCCCCCTGCCCCCCACGGATAGTTTTGTATTAAAGAAGAAGCATATCACAGCCTCGAATAGTACAATCATATATGTGTATATATATGTTAATGTGTATCTCCCTACCCCCAGAATAGTAGGGTAAGCGCCGTCTTCCATCTTATGCTCTCACCTAGTTGTAGCACCCCCACACTGCTCTTCACTCATTTGAAAAGTTGCTACTTGCCAGTATTTTTGTTTAATCCATTAGGATCTTTCTTTTTGGTCATTATTTGTCAACAGTGCTGAGTTGCTGAAAAATTGCAGGTGGTAGTGGCTGGAGGTTCTACAAATTGCCATAGAAGAGCATTCCACTGAGTATTTAAGGAACTGATGGAGGAAACAGAAGTTAAAGATCAATTAGGAATGGTCAGAAGTCTCTTGACCTTTGGAAGGGCATTGATAATATCTTTGTAGCCTGGGAGGAAGAGACCAACTATTGTGTGAAGCGCAGGAGGAAAATTCTGTGGCTGGAGTCATAAAGTCCTGGAGTTTGAAGAGGGCAGACGTTGATTACTAAATACAAGTGGTAGGAAGAGAATGCATCTCTATGGGAACCACGCTATAATGACTCTCTATAATACAGATGCAGTTCGTGCTTCCATTTCCAGAAAGCGGTCTCACACCAAACAAGGCAAGCTTATTGCTAGGAGTGCCAACTAGAATCTGAATGGGCTTGTCAGGGATGCTCTGAAATAATTTTGAACTCGGTGGTGGTTTTGGACTAGCTGATCCATTTCAACTTGGAGTCTATCATTTTATGGCATTAAGTTCCATTCAGAAACACTCTGAGAAGCTCTAGTTCTGCTTTTTTTTTTTTTTTTTGGTGGGGGAGGAGATTCTGGTCACTGTAATTCTCCCCTTTTCCTCCAAGAAATTTATGCTTCTCAAAAATCCAGGTCACAATAGCTAACTAATCCCCCTTGTCACTCAACACTTGGAACTCCAACCAAGATGATTTGGAATGGATAGCTAAGGTTGTGGAAGAGGAGTCTGGTGTGTGTGTGCGCGCTCAGATCTGGCTCTTGATTGCCTAGATCTACCATTTTAAGTAATAAAAGTACAGACATTTACAGTATTACTGGCTGAATTGTATGAGGACTGATTCTTGGGCTCTCTGGGTGTTTCTGATCAAGGAGATTCCTTCTTGATTATGTAGCCATTTGTTTTGCTTCTAAAAATCAGTGGCAGCGCACCATGTCTGTTGTGTCAGTCAGCTTTAATGAAGGAACCGACTGCATGTGCATGGAGTGTGAATCCCCTCATTTCTGGAGCCAGGGTGTCAAACTCGTTCGATAGCTGACAGCTGTGATTAGAGCAAAGCAGGACTCCAGCATGAAAGGCACCGACAGGAGTGCCCAACTGCTGAAAAAGTAATAAGAAGTAGCCAAACTGACTTCCAGCGAACAGTCGTGTTTGCCTCACTGTGCACAGGAAATCAATGAGGAGAATATGAGCCATTTTCTCCTTATCGATTTTCACTTATAATTATTCCTTGGAGGTAGCTTGGTTTAATTTTTATTCCTTTTTGGAACTACAATGAATATCCAGAGCTGTGCTATATAAAGTATCCTGGCAGTCTGACATGTTTCCTACCCCATCCTCAATACATGTGAATTATCCCTTTCCCTTCTCCTTGTCCTATCCCCACACCCCTTCCTTTGACTCACAGTAAATGCTAGAAGACTTTGAACTTAAGCAAAAGAATTAATGAATAATACTTTTTGCAAGTACTCTGAAGTGACCCAAAAAGTTGTGGTACATGCGAAGACAAAGTACGCTCTTCTTCACACATAGTTTGGTTAAAATGAGATGATTTTCTTCTGGGGTTGCTCTTTCTCCTCAGTCATTTCCTACTGCTCTTGGCTTAGCCTGAAGAAATCCAAGTAGCTTCATGATCTTGTGTATTCTCTTGGACTTTTTCTATACCACACTCCGTATATCTATCCTTGGCGCTCCTGCTGGTTGGCAAATACTGAAAACAGCATGGAATATGTTTTGTGCCCTTTTCTCATAAGGTAAGGCATTGTTTGTCAACTTAAACAGAACTTCTTCTAGTACTCTGCTGGTTTTGCTCCAAAAAATGTACACTCGATTCTTTGAAAATGTCCCTTAAGACTAAGGCAGACTTAGAGTATGTCAGTGATATCAATAAGTATTCCACATAAGTGACCCAATGCTATACAATTACAGAAGTATAGATTTGAGTTTCAGAAGATCAACCATTTTCTACTTCTTATTAGGACAAAGGCACCCTCTGGGGTAATTCTTTCCAGGACTCAAGTGTAACAGAAGCATTTACTTCCCATAAGGGAGTGCTCCCTATTGGAATTAAACGGTTTCCTAGAGCACAGAATTTGGCGTTGCATGCAGCCAGGGTTGATGTTTCTAGATATGTTTCCTCGAGTAGAATAAATTCTCAGAGCTTCTGTTTTCTCATAAAATAGGAAAGATAATATCTGCCTTAGAGGGTTGATGTGAGGTTTAAATGGTGTTATATGGGTAAAATGCCTGGCCTGTACCAGGTGCCCAATATGGATCATTTAACCACGTTTCTTTCTTGTGTCTTATCCTATCTTTAGTCCATCCTTCCTTCTTCCCTTCATTCCTTTTCTCCCCTCTCTCCTTCCTTCTCATCTTTCTGTTTCTCTACCCTTTTCTTCCCTACTTCCCTCCCCTGTTTCTTTCCTCTCTCCCTTCTTAACCACCTTCTCTTCAACCTCCTTTTTCTTCATGCCTTCTGTAGGATAAATATCCAGAATTCGTATTGTTGACTTTCTCACTAAAGAACATCTTTACCTTTCTTTTCTTATTCCTTTTCTCCTGTTATTCCCTTAGAATATTCATTTTATGTAATTCATCTACCTCTAATCTCATTTTTTTCACAATTCCCATTTTTAAGCTTCTGGCTCCAGCATGCAGTTCCCATCTCAGTGCACTCCACTCAAAAGATATTCTCAGAGACTATCTCAGGGATGAGGGCAAACTCTAAATAGTTCCTCATCTATTAATTTTGTTTAAAGAAGGAAGAGCTGAAGAGAGCAATAAATCCCATGCACTTTATGAACCCCTTCTTTTTTCTGATAATCCAGTCCCAAGGTCTCTGTTCTATTTTTTTCAAGCTCTCTGATCTATTTAGTTTCAAAATTACTTTCATTGGTAGGTATAACACACACAAAAAAGTTAGGTGCACAAAACAAAAGTTAGGTCAGTGAGTTACTAACAAAAATCTTATGCATAAAAAAAATGTACAGTCAGTGAGTTACCACAAAGTGAACTCCTGTGTAACCCCCAGTCAGGTCAAGAAATAGAACACTGCCCACATTCCAGAAGCTTCCACGTGGCCATTCTCAATCATTACTCCACACTGTATGGCCTGAAAAGCCTAAAATATTTATTATCTGACTCTTTACTGAAAAAATCTGCTGGCTCCTGCAATAGACTGTTCCTCTTCTTTTTAGTCTTCAAAATATGTTTGATGGTTGAAAACAAAAATTATAACATTGTTCGAGGTTTTTAAAGTATGTAATATGTAAAATAACTACGACATAAGCGGGGAGGGTAAATGGACCTATCTGAGGGTAAGGGTCTTACTTTCTACTTGAAGTGTTCAATTATTGATTCTAAGTAGACTGTGAAAAATGAGGTATGTAATCCATAGAGCAACCAATAGAAAAGTATACAGATAATGTCAAACAGCACAAGAGATAAATTAAAATGGAATACTAAAAATTGTTCAAATAATCTAAAAGGGAAAAGAGCAAACAGTGGAATGGAAAACAAATGGGACAATCATAAAACAAATAATATAATTGTAGAGTTAAATCCTGATATGTCAATGACATTAAATGTAAATAGTCAAGCACACCAATTAAAAGACAAAGATTGTCAGAATTAATTTAAAAAATGATCAGTGATTTCTGTTTCTGGAAAGATGGAGTAGGTATACTTTTCCCTATTACTTCCACTAAATATAACTAAAAACCCTGGAAATTATACAAACACAAGAAGACTCTGAAAGATGGGGAGAATCAGTCAGATTGCCTAGGGACCTTAGGACCCAAAGAATGACATGATTTCAAGTTACCTGGGTTTTCTTTTTGCCTCATATATTCCAGTCTTTGTGTGGAAGAAGCTAGTAACCCAGAAATGCCGACAGGCACAGAAATTTTAAAAAACGCCAACAAAAGCCTATTCTGTAGCCAAAGGACCACCCAACAAGATAGAAACTCTTAGAAAGTAACCATTCAACTCCAGCCTAACACTACAGAAAAAGACTAGCAAAGGCCAGGTGGAGAATACAGACTTCCACTCTCACCTTGCTGTAACTCTCCCCATCTCATACTGGGGTGTTGTCAGAGAAGGCTGAGTAGGGAGTCAGTACTTCCAGCCCACTGGGTGTTAATTGGGTGTTAACTCCTCCTCCTCCCCAGCCCCCCACAGCGGTTTCAGTGAAGTCTATGTGGGGAGCC